TTATTTTAAGTTACCTGTAACTCCCCATTGTGTTCATACATGTGGCTCCATTCTGGCAGCCCCAGGGTGTTCCTGAGTGAATTGCACATTCATTGACATCAGCTGAACACAGAGGACCCTGGAGTCACATGAAGAATAGGCAAGTGTCAGAAGCCATGGAGGAATGTGGGGGTTGCTGTTATTAGGATATGTGTAGGACTCATACACAATAAACAAACCCTTGGCAAAGCCAAACACGAGCATACTGATATTAATCTCTGGCTAGCCTTCCTCTGGAACTCAGATTTAACCTAACAGAACTGAGGAGCTGTTCATAAGCTCACAGCAGCCCCAGAGGAGAATCCAAATACAAATGAATCCTCCTTTCATAGTGGTAGGATCCCTTGAAATGCTTACGTAACAATCTTTTCTGTTTGTTTGTGAGTGCACATGCTAGGGACATTTTAACTCAATGCTAATACATATTATGGCCTTTCACGGCATTAGCCAATCAAATGAACTATGTATGATGGCTTAGTATTCAGTGGCTATATAATCAAACCTGCCATCATTTACATTTTGGCACTCATGGTGTAATTTGTTCTGGTTTTCAGAGGCCATAGAATCTTAGTAACTTTGATGGACGGGTGAACAAGTCTGGGATGTTTCCAGTGGTGAGCACAGATTCCGACTCACCATAATTTTTAATCGAAAACCATGAGACTCACCTCCCACTGTGAAGGACAGATACAGACAAAAGAATCATGCAGATCGAGGCAGGTTCCACCGTTTTGGCAGGGACTGCTGCTGCAATCATCTTTGTCCACTTTCTGAAATAAAGAAACAGCAGCCGGTAAGACAGCAGCGCAAGCTTGCCACGGACGGGTGTCGGTACAGCTGTGTGCACTGGGGAGAAGGGCTTTGCTCCCAATGGACGGGCTCTGCCTTTAGATTTGCTATCAGTTATTGGTCCTTTTTCAAATCAATTCTCTTGTGAAAGAATAAAATGTGTTTATCAGTCAGTCAAATTCCTCAGTGCTTTGTATGCTTTTTACCACAGAAGGGATGAGATAGGAGAGGAGAAATTTTCCTTCTTTGGGAAAATATACATCAATGGACAAGAGTAGAGGATGGAATAAAAATGGACATTCATATATACCAAGAAAATGAAATGGAAATTCCCATTCCTTTGCCCTTTGGTCTTATCTTTAGTACCTCCAGGTAAGGCTTCAAAATCTGATCATCTCTTGCTGCCACCCCTCCTCTCAAGGGTTAAGATGACTAAACACATTTCATTCCAAGATCTATTGTTTGAAATGTGGCCAGCCAAGATACACCCTCCACCCTGCACTCACCTGACCACTTTGGACCCACAGAGCAGCAAACAGACCTACCTTTGTCTACGCAACCTGAGCAATCTTACCCTACGTCAGCTGCCAGTTCTGCTCACGTAAGATTTTTAATGCTTTGGAAACAGAGGCAATTTCTTCTTTTTTTTTTTTTTTTTTTTTTTTTTTCTTAATTTTTTGGCAGAACTGGGGATTGAACTCTGGCCCTTGTGCTTGCCAGGCTAGCACTTATTCCACTGAGCTATCTACCCGGCCCCTCCGAGAGGCAACTTCTTTAGAGAGTCCTAGTGATCAGGAAATTAAGTTACCACTCTCATCTTATCCATAGTAGACTTCTCTGATTAACTAGAAGCAAAGTGTTCATTAAAGAGAAAAATCAAGTCCATTTTCATCATTTTCCAGGTAAAACTGAGAGCCAGAGAATAGCTGATGGGGATGCCTTACTATCTGTTGCAAAGCTCATTCTTTCTCTACACTCAGTAGGAGCCCACATGTACTGGAGATTTCTTTCTATTTTCTTCCAGTATTCAATTTGTCTAAGTTTGTTCCAGTACCATAGTGAGCTCTGTCCATCAAAGGACACTATTACGAAGGTGCACCACAAATGTATTAGAGAATTTTACGTGTGCAAGAGCAACAATGTCTGGGAGTTAGAAACTCCACAGCCTCTTTGGCCCAGCAGGCAAGGAAACCAGCAGAGGAATACGATAGAGAGTGGCAGAGACTGCTGGCCAGAGAGCCCATGCCCTATCCAAAGGCTGAAGGGCATTCACATTGGGAAATCATTAAGAGCTCTTTCTGTGCAGTGGAAGAGGAGGACCTTTTTATAAGTCTTCTAGCTCTTACTTAAAGCAGTGAAGCCCTGCAGGAAACTGAAACCTGCAGCTGTGTGCTGTTCTACAGTGCTGCTCCTGGTTGGCATTCACTTACTCAAGCAGCATGTTGGTTCATCTTGATTATCAGCTTGACTGGAGGAGTTCGCTGCATTACTCCATTACTACCAGTACTGTGACTTCTGGGTTTCCGTTGTACAGAGGATACACGGAAGTACACCACAGCAGAAGCAAGGCCACCCCCTGCCCTTAGGATGCTGACTCTATTGACTATTTTTGTATATTTCTAGTTACTATCTGGTCATCATAAGACTTACCTGCTGTAAGCTCTGAAATCGTCTCTCAAGATCCAGAAACTAACAAAGAGGAAGAAAAAGCATGAGTCAGCTGGTTCAAAGGCATTTTATATACGATGTCACACCCAGGATATACTGGCCCAATACTTTCTGCCAGGGGTCCCTTTCTGTTCCTGTTTTCATTCCTTGTCTCTATTTACTCCACTCCTACCACATTTTCTTTTCTTTCTATTTCCTTCGACCACATGTATTTCTTTTTTACGGCCTTTTAAAACATGCTACAATCCATTGATAAGCTGCTTCTTTCTCTCCTTTGCACACAGTAACTATGGGATTCTCCCAAATAATAATGATGAATCTTGTTCATCAGTAAGCTTGCTATAAGAACCTGAGTAAAGTCTACTTGGACGACAAGTTTGACAGTATTTCCTATCGTTAGATAGGAAATTTATATCCTCCATTAGAATTATATCTTCTAGTTAGAAGTCCCTAAGTTAAAATGATAAATATTTGAAAAGTGTACTCAATTGTTATCCTCTGCAAAATACATGATGTATAATATTGAATTAAAGAAAACTCATCTGCTCTTATGATGTGGACTTCAGACTTACCTTGGAATTGAGCTGATGGATCTGACTAGATACATTTTGGTGAAGACCAGCTGAATTTCTTTTTAAATCTATAATCTCATCTTTGTTTGTCTGGATCTAAATTTTAAAAGAAAAACAGAAGGAAAAAGAAGAGAATAATTCCAGTGGGAAAAAGTCATACTCATCTTGCAGGGATACAATATAAAACCTGAGTAGGATTACATTTTAATAACTAAGATTTGTCTATTAAAAAATTCAAAGCAAATGCCAGGTACAGTAGACATTGGGTTAAAATACTCATGACAAGCAGAGTAGTGCAACAGAAGTGTGCTTGGCCCATAAAAATACCTATGACATATTTTCTTTCTTTTTTTTTTTTTTTGCGGGTACTAGAGATTGAACTCAGGACCTTGCACTTGCCAGGCAAGCACTTATTCTACTGAGCCATCTCCCCAGCACCCCCATGACATAATTTCAGTTAATGTTTCTTAAAACAATGTAAGTTGTGATAAAAACATATAGTGATTTTTTTAAAAATGATTTTTAAAATACTACAGAGAAAGATATATTGCCATCAGGCCCCCTCGCTTGGACAACATTCATCCCAGTGTTCTGCTAATTTCAGAAGCAGCTCTGGGAGCCTCTTCTGTGGGTTCCTTGACTGCTCCTGCCAGTGTCACGCCATGGGAGGCTTGCCCATAACACCATGCTGTGGGAGGCTTGCCCGTAACACCACGCCAGTGTGTCCTAATCCAAATTTTTCTCTGGATCTGGAATTTTGCAACTTCTGGCTCTTCCCAAAATTCAAAATGACCATAAGCATGAAATGATTTTGATCAGTGTGAAGCATCCAGACCCGTGCAACAGAAAACACTCACAAAAGAGGACTTCCAGGACTGCTTCAGAAAGTTGTGGGAATGGTGGGTAACTAGGTCAAAGTGGGGGACAGTGCTTCAAGGAGTTATTAATTAATGACAATGTGGCTTTTACTCTAATAAATTTTAAAGACTTTAAATATTAATTATTTTTCAATTGCACCTCAGGTGTCAAAATATTCTCTATTTGCATTTTTCTCATCATAAATGTTTAGAGCATTTACTAAGAAGCTTCCTGGACCAGGGGTGCCACTCAGTGATGAGCCCCTGGAGCCCTACAGGCCCCAGGCCCCGTGTTCAATTCACAGCACACACACCCTCCCCCAAAGCACTTGGCTTTGAATCAGATTACTAAATTTTAAATTTTTGGTGCTCCACCTAGAGTGTGTCTTTGGGCAAATTATTTAACTATGTTAGGGTAGCTTTGCCTTCCTCATAAATGAAGTAATAAAGCCCCCTCACAGGTAGCTCTGAGGATCAAGTGAGACAATGCACAATCAAGAGCTATGTGTGGTACATACTCTGCAGAAAGCTAATATAGTACCCTAATGAGACTGATGTACAGGCATGCAGTAGTATACACTGAGCCTTGGAAACCTTTCACAAGGCCTGAGCATAACTGGCTGATTCTGTTCCAAAGAAAAGGTAAGATTGCTACACCTCTTTCTGGTCCCCTCCTTCTTCATCACCCTTGTGGAAAGTTCATCAGCACCCTCTCTTATCTTCTCTGTACCCTACTACAACATGAGCATTATAAGCTTCTACCCCCAATTATACCTTCCACCCACCCACTGTTATTCCTCCTGTGTCATTTTTCTTTGTAAAAACTATCTTTCTTCCAATTAGGCATTTTGTGATCAACATTCAAGTATAGATTGATATTGAAATGTTCAATTAAGTCATAACATGTAAACCCATAGAATGACTTTAGGGTATTTCCCACACAATACCTGATGTAAACATTCACTGAGGTCTTCATCATTTACTCTTATTTTTCCTTGGGATCCAGTTCTAAATTCAATATTTTGGGTAGGTCCAGTAAGAAACACTAAATTTCCCCTTTCTGAAGTCAAACGAGGCCTACATAATTGAACCAGAGAAAAAGTAGCAGTAAATAGTACATAAACATTTTTAAATCTAAACAAACTTCTTACTGAATTCACTATAGACTGAATACATCTTTTCTTTGTAATAGACTGAATTATTTCTAATCTTGAATCATTCTCTTGTAATTTCATGGAGATAAGTCCTAGTAATTGCATACTTGGCTACTTTGCAAATGGATAAGTGAATAATTTCTTATAAGAAAGTATTCCATATATCCATCCAAATATATTCCCTGTTGATTCTTTGATATCATGACTTTTCTCAAGAAAAAAATTACACTTTTGATTTTCTGACTATTTGTGAGAACTCATGAAGAGTTATCCCACTGCATCAGGAAAAAATAAAAACACTAATCTTCATGTCTACTTACTGTTGGAGATCAATATTTCTTTTTATTCGTTGCAGCTCTAGTTCTCCAGCTTCACCATCAAATTCTTCAAATATCAATAAAGTAACCAAACACCAAAGAAACGGTGAGGACATATTCCTCACCGGTCTCCTACGTGGTTGGGTAGGAGAGAGACTTCTGCTACTCACTGACTGACTTCGAGAGTTTGGTGAAAAGTAAGCCAAGAATGTGTACTTTGACCAGTGGATTATTTCATTCTTTTTGTCTTTGCCTGAGAAGGCTGTCTTATTTCTTTCTTCCTGAGGAATGTAAATGATCCTAGATCTCCACTACTCTTCAACTTGTAAGAGGTCAAAATCTACCTCAAGTGATGCACAACTTAATCATTATTTGTTTGACCTTTGAGATAGTAACAAGCAGCTTTGGAAACATCCTTTTAGACAATCTTTGCTTAGGAAGCACTAACCTTTCAATAAATGCTGTTGGAAAAACAATATCTACACGCAAAGGAAGTGGACCCTCACTTTGTACTATATATGTAAGAGTTACTGCTAAATGATTCAAAGAGCTAAATCTAAGAATTAAACCTATAAAACTCTTTGGAGAAAAAAATAGGGAGAAAGATTCATAATCTTGGATTTGCCAATTATTTTCTGGGTTTGATATCAAAAGTACAGGCATCAAAAGAAAAAAGCATAAGCAACCAAAAGTGAATGGTCTACATCAAAAGTATAAACTGTGTATCAATATTATCTTCAATGTTAAAAGGTAACTCACCCAACTTAAGAAAATAGTTGCAAATCATGTATGTGATAAAAGGTTAAAAACCAGAATATAAAATAACTCATAACTCAACAATAACAAATCCAAAGAATCAGATATTTTTAAAGAAGCCATAGCCATGGATAATTTCTCCAAAGAAGCTATATAAATGACATGAAATTATCAGCACCATAAGAAAAATGGACTGGGAATTATTTACTAGACAAGCCATCTTAAGGCAAGAAAGACACATTAGCATGAAGATGGGTTGGTTTCAAAAATTCAGAAAGATAACCTGTAAAAACAGCATTTGAAATGTCATCTAAATTTTTAAGTAGTAGATACATAAAATTATCCTCTGACATACAACTGTATAGTTTACTATTATGGGAAAAGGTAACACATTCTCACTAGTTTCTTAACTATCTGACCACTGTAGTACAGCACAAACAAACCAAAGAAAATAACTTTCAAGTCACTATTTTGTATGGTGCTAAGGTCAGGTGATGAGGAGGATTGTTGTATTTTTTTATAAATAGATATAATGCAATAAATGACATTTTATTTTGAATACATTGTTTTAGTTATGCCAGTCTAAATTTCCACTCTTCCATTAAGTTATGCAGTCACATTACATCATTCAACTAAGAAAACAAAGCAAGGCTAAAACTTTTCTAAAATTTCCAGAACATAAAACATTAAAAAGATAAAGAAGGAAGGTGTCAAAGCTAGAACTTTGGTTCAAATTCACCGCATTCCTGGATAGTAATCAGAAAGATGTGGGAGGGGAGTTGCAAGAAATTTGAAAGAGGGCCGGCCAAATCGCTCAGTGGAAGCAGGCACAGAGGCCAGGGTTCGATCTCCGGGCCTGCTGTGCCGGCCCCACCCCTGGGATATGCTGAGCTGGCAATTGAAACTGGGTGTGGTGGTGCATGCCTGTAATTCCAGCTCTTGGGAGACTGTACACAGGCAGATCACTATGAGTCCGATCTAGTAGTAAGACCCTGAACACTCTGTAGACCCTTCCCTAAGATACAAAAAAGAAAGAAGAAAGAAAGAAAGAAGAAATTTGAGTGAAAGAAAATAATTTTTTTAGACAAGAAAAGAGAAAGTTTGGGGAGTGACAACCAAGGGAGAACTGTTTTTTAGTGTTTCCTCACCATGGTGAGGTATCCCTATCTCCCTTTGTCCCTAACTGTAGCAATTTCTTACTACCTGCTAGGCATTGTGTGGTCATTTGCGCAGATTATAAATTCATTTCACCTTCCCAACAGATGAGGAAGTTGCTTTTAGAAATTAATTTATGCTCATTTATTTCTATGTTTACTATAAATTTCTATCTAAATTACTCAAAATTTAGTTGTATTTGGTTCCACTGAGTTTGTATTTTTAGAACACCCAATTTGTGCCAGGCTGTGCTATGCCCTAGGATGCACCAATTGCTAACAATAACATATATCCTCGTCTTCCAAGAGCTTGAATTCTGGAGAAAAAAGTTTAAGGAAATAAATGAACAGGGTAGGCTCAAGGAATGATCAGCATTGAGGGCTATGTGAGAGGCTGTGACGCCATGATGTAACCAAGGAGAAGGGCATTCGTACTGCGAGTGGCCAGATCAGTTTTTTCCCCGAGGCAGCAGCATTTAGGGTATAAGATGAAAAATGTTGGCAACACCAAGCCAGCATCTGTGAAGCTCCTTGTTTTGACTCTAGAAATCTTTGATTGTTTCCATCCCTGTAAGTCCACATTGGGCACACGTCCAGCCAGATGATCTTATTTGAAGGCATAAGCCTTGATGTCCCCCACTGACTCTGCTGGGGACGACGGAGAACACACTTAGGAATGATGTAAATGTTCTACATCTTGATTGTGAAATCAGGTGTTGATGCAGCCCAACTTTCCGTGAGCACACAAACCATGATAAGGAAAACAAACCTGACTTTGAAAAACAACTCTATCCAAGCTCTACTCTAAGAAAAACCTCTTGGTAAGGTCTACTAGTTAATATTTGTATAGTCATGCACACTCTTTGAAACTAAGGATGATCAGGTAACACAGAATAGAATGTCTGTGACAATCAAATATACACTGGTTTTATTTGATATTTTAAGTCTTCCAATTTTTTTCCTATATAGTCCTTTGTATCTAGTTCTTTCACTCAACATAATGCTTCTCTCATCCTTCAACCGGCAGTATTTATCATTGATTCCTTTCTATTACTGTGGAGTACTTGTTGTATTTCAACCCATTCCACCTTTTGTTTTGGTACTCTTTTGCTGACAAGCAGTTGAGTTGTTTCCAGCTTAGAACTATTATACTAAAGCTTTTTTTTTTTTTTTTTTTTTTTTTTTTTTTTCAGAACCGGGGATTGAACTCAGGCCCTTGTGCTTGCCAGGGAAGCGCTTTTCCACTGAGCCTTCTCCCCAGCCCATAACTATTATAAATAAGCTACTACAAATATTTTGAACAGATCTTTGTACAAATACATGTTTTCACTTCTTTTGGAGAAATTTTAAAATGTGGTTGCTGAGATATATTGAAATATGTCTTAACTTTAGAAGAAAATGTTAAACTATCTTCCAGAGGATAGCCCTACATAATGTATGAAAGTACAAGTTCCTCCTCATCCTCTCCATCACTTGATGTGATGAGTCTTTTTATTTTTACCTATGCCAGTGGATCTACAGTATTAAAAGCTATGTCGCTAGGAAACAGATCATGAGATGTCTGAGGCAAGAAGTGAGAAGGGATTGATTGCAAGGAGCCAAGAAGGAATATTTAGGATGGTGGAGATAAACTGTGCTTGACTGGTGGTGGCTCCTGACTGTATAAATTGTGAAAACTACACAATTAAAATAGGTGACACTGTATCTTTCAAATTTTAATTACTCTTTCAGGTCATCACCCTAGTGGGATAATATGATGTTTGCACATGTGGATCTGATTTATTTCACTTACCAATATAGTCTCTAGTTGCATCCATTTATGTACAAAAGCCTTGAATTTATCTTTTTTAATAGATGAACAGTACTCCATTGTGTAAAAATACCAGTCTTTTTTATTAGTTTCTTAGGTGATAGGCATTTATGTTGTTTCCAAGATTTAACTTTGACAAATTGTGTTGCTATAAACATGGGTACATGCAATGCAGCAACCATTGTTGAATTCCTATTACTTTGCTTAGTGAAATTTTGTATCATTTCTAATGCTGGGTTTTTTTCCTATTACTTTTTTTTATTCTTTAAAAAATTAAAATAAAATAGATGATATTTGGTGGGTATAAATTAAAACTCAATAAAACTGATTAAAATATTTCTCTTATACATTAATAAATGTATTCTTATATAAGGATTGTATAAACTACTATTAATGCTGATTTTAAATGTTAAGGTATCCAACAGATTCTATACAATAACGGATGAAATTTATCATGATCGAGATTCGTCTGAGTCTTCAACAACTAAGTGTACAGAACAAGGGAATGATTGACAATGTGAAATATTTTCCTATTTTAATATAAAGTATAATGGATTAAAATTTTCCAGTAGAGAGACAAGTTAGTCTAAGCCTGAACACTATTTTCATAATTACATTTCCCCATACATGACTGAACTCAGAAAATCTTTCTAGTGCAATATGAAAGATCTCCCACATGATTTTAATAAGAGCTTTCTCTTTCCTAGAATTTTTTGTGCTTTATAAATGTGTTCATTATTCAAGAAGTAAAAATAACTTCTCGGCTTCTAATCTAGGCATGCAATTCCTAATGGTTTCTTATGTTAGAAGAAAAGGACATATTCTCTCAAGGTCTGGCTGGGCTTTTGGTGAGGAGTTAGGAAATGTGACATCGCACTCACTCATGCAAGTTTAGCTCAGATCAAAAGGTGAGCTAGACTTTGCGTGTGATGAGTGCAGAAGCAGTACAAAAATCAATTGCTGCTTCCACGGCATGATTGTGCGCTGTTTCCGTGCTGAATTCAGATGTGTTCAGCAAAGGCAAATGAGTATCAGAACACATGACTTTCAGGCTTAGAGGTTCAATAATTCCCCTCTTCCTCCTCCCCAAGGTGAATGTTCTACAGGCCTAAAATCCTGTCTTTTCATTAACTAGCTGAGCACCTATTTCCTCCTTAATCCAGAATGCATTCCACTAAAAGTTCCTATATGCCCTTTAAGTTTTTGGCCATCCTACAAGAGGATAGGAATACACAGCAGCTCCTGTTCTACAAAGGCTCGCTTCTAGGGAAAAGGGTATTACTAAAAGGACAGAAGAGCCTGGGTTCTGAAGTTTATTTATCTGGGTTCAAAATCCAGCTCCAACACCGTCTGACCATGTAACTTTGCTTCTTCATCACAGGAAGATATTGCCAGCAATTAAGGAGTATAAAATGCTCAGCACATTGAGTCTCT